TCAACCCCTTCCTGAAAACCAAAAACCAAACCAGTTGCCACAAAGTTGATTCCAACTTATAATTACTCTGTGTCTGTCAGGGGAGAACTGTGGTCCATAGAGTTTTCAATGGCTCATTTTTCAGAAATAGATCACCAGGCCTTCCTTCAGAGGCATGTCTGTGTGGACTTGAACTGCCCATCTTTCGGTTAGCAGCCGAGTGTGTGAATGATTTTCACCACCCAGGAAATCCTTTATTAGCTGTGTGATAGTAGGCATGTCAGTCTCCCCCCAACCCCCCAGCAATGCTTAACCACTGGGCAAAGAAAATAAAAGGAAGATATTTGAATTTAACCAGGCCTGTGGTTTTATATAAGGAGCTCTGGTGGTGTAGTGGTTAAGGCATTGGACTGTTAACCAAAAAGTTCAATGCTTCACACCCACCAGCCACTCCACAGAAGAAAGATGAAGCAGTCTGCTTCCATAAAGGTTTACAGCATTGGAAACCCATTGGGGGTCGCTATGAGTAGGAATCAACTCGATGGCAGTGAGTTTGGTTTTTTTGGTTTGTGATTTTATGTGATACATAAAATAGAAAGGAAGAGGAGCAAGGAAGTTAAGGGTATTTATGAGAGAATAATTGTAATGGAAAGAGCTCTGGTGGTATAGTGGTTAAGGCATTTGGCTCCTAACCAAAAGGTCAGTGGTTTGAACCCTCCAGCTGCTCTCTGAAAGAAAGATGAGGCAGTCTGCTTGCATAAATGTTTATAGCCTTGGAAACCCAATGGGGGTTGCTATAAGTTGGAGCTGACGTGATGGTGGTGAGTTTGTTTTGTTTGTTTGGAATTATAGTGCAGCCTAAAATCTAAGTTGGGTGAGTGGACTAAAGGCAAGAGGGAATGGGGAGCTAGAGAAAACATACTGGGCACAGTAGCCAAGGTGGTGGTTGAAGAACAGTTACTCCTAGAGTTGATGACCTGCAAAAGTAGGGGATAGCATAAGATAGGGGGGTACATACACTAAGGTTGAGGAAGTAGTATCCTTTCTGTGATGCTAAACTCCAGGATGTGACCTTGGACAGAAGTCAGTGTGAGTGGGTGGAAATAAAAGTTTCCACAAACTGAAGGGACCTTTATCTCCTACTTTCCAATATTTCCTCTTTTCGTTGTTTTTCTTATCATCTTGAACTTAACAGAATTTCTATTCTTCTTGTCTTAAAAAAAAGTTGAGTAATGGCTGTGATAATGGCTGTGTCTGCCTCATTCCTAACTTTAATGAGACTGCATTTATCATTAAATGTGGTATTATTATTTCAGGTCAATAGCCTTTCATGCTGCTAAGAAAATGCCCTGATTACAATGATCATATGGTTTTCTCCCTTGACCTATAAATATGATGAAAAGTTCAATTATAGATTGCCTGAGGTTGAACCATCTTTGAAATCCTGGCAGGAGTTATTATATATTAGCCTTTTAGCACGTAGTTTGATTCAATTTGCTAATACATTATTTTGGATTTTTCTGGCTATAATTGTAAGTGAGACTGTTGGCACTATATTCTTAGCCCATTGCTGTCCAGTCAATTCTGATGCAAAGTGACTCTATAGGATGACAGAACTACCCCATGTTGTTGTTGTTGTAATGTGCCTTCGAGTCGGACCTGACTCATAGCGAGTCCTCCTTGGGTTTCCGAGGCAATATGGCTACGGAAGTAGATTGCCCCAACTTCCTTCCGAGAACTACCCCATAGAGTATCTTTATACAAGCAGACTGTTGCATCTTTCTTCTGCAGAGCAGCTGGTGGGTTTGAACTGCTGACCTGTTGACTAGCTGAGCTCTTAACCACTGCACCACCAGGGATCCTACTGTATTCTTAAGATCTAAGTCCCATTTCCTAGCCGCCTTCCCATGACCATCTAGATTACCAGCTTTGGCGTTGGCTTGTGATTGAGTAACTTCTTTCTGTTTCTCCAGGCCCGGGTCTTGTTCCACTGCACCATTCCGTCTGCACCTCCACTTCTGACCTTCTGCTTCCTTTCCTTTTCTGAAGCTGAGCTTATAGCTTCCTTTACCCCGAGTGCCTGCTAGCCCTAGTTATAATGCTGCCGGTATTTTCCCAGCCTTCTTTCTCTGGGCTCAGTTGGGTGCTGGTAATGGGTGACACATGGATGATAGATGCATTTCCTGGGCTATGTGGGGAACAAGCATAGTGAGCATACAGTGAATTTAGGGGGGATGGGGAGAGCAGAGAAATCAATATCAAACCAATATGGAGCAGAGTTGACAATGTACTAGCTTATCTCACTTAAGCAGGAGCTCTGGTGGTGTAGTTCCTAAGGCATTTGACTGCTAACCAGAAGGCTGGTGGATCAAACCTACCAGCTACTCTTCAGAAGGAAGATTTGGCAATCTACTTTCGTAGAGATACAGCCTTGGAAACCCAAGGAGAGGTCATTATGAGTCCCAATCGACTCAATGGCAGTGAGTTTTTTGGTACCCCATTTAATATGCTTCTTAGCTGTCAGTGTTAATACATTCAAATTCTGTTAAAGCACGTGTGATGCCAGGGACCCTTCCACAGGTTCTCCAGCCACCACTGAATGGTGCTTAAACATTTTGGGGGCATTAATGCTGAAATTGCTTCTCCTTTTTCAGTAAGAGATGCTAAAAACCTCGTACCTATGGATCCCAATGGCTTGTCAGATCCCTACGTAAAACTGAAACTGATTCCTGATCCTAAAAGTGAGAGCAAACAGAAGACCAAAACCATCAAGTGCTCACTCAACCCTGAGTGGAATGAGACATTTAAATTGTAAGTTAAAATGATTCCAGCCTGGAATGAGTAATGGAGGTTGAGTTGTGGGCCAGCTGAGGGTGGGGAGTTTCTATTATTCTTTCTTAGCTTCTGTAGTTCCCTTCCTTCTTCCCTTCCTCCCTCCTACCCTCACTCCATCACCTGCATTTTTGCAGAGAGCCAAATAGAAGTTGGAACCTGTTTATTTAATTATTTATAAAGAGTGTTGAGAGTGCCTGTGGTGTGGAGGAGTAGGTGGGACAGGGAGGAGTGTCTGTGTGTCCCTTTGTGAAGGCAAGTTGCTGGAGAAGTTACAGATCTCAGGAAAGACTGGGGCAAAATCCATAGGTGTGATAACCTCCTGGTAGCTGAGATTATGGATGATGCTGGGAGCTCTCCACTAGCTTTCACTGAGGGTCTTCCCTGGATAGTGCTCCAAAGATGCATCTAGGCCGACAGGTGTTAATTACAACAGCCACTATTTATTGAGAATATACTGTGTATAATAAGCACTATGTTAAGTGATAAGGCTTCATTGGCTTGTATCAGCTCCATTTTACCAATGGGGCTTATATGAGTTAAGTAACTTGCTCAGAGTCCCACAGTAAATTCATTATGGAATAGAATTCAACCTCAGGCATGACTCCAGAGGTCATGCTTTAGCTAGTGCAAAATAGCATCATTCCTCGTGGCAGCTTCATCCCTTCTTTCCTGTGTCAGGGCAAACCTGGGACCACCTCAGTCCCAATCAGGGCCACACCTCAGAGCAGAGAAATCCCCCCCATGCAGGAACCTCAACCTCAACACACACACGTGGGAACACATGCAGACCAGTGGCCATCGAGTTGACTCCAACTCACTGCCATCCCATGCAGGTCAGAGGAGAACTGTGCTCCATAGATTTTCAGTGGCTGATTTTTCAGAAGGAGATTGCCAGGCCTTTCTTCCAAGACACCTCTGGGGTGGACTTGCACCTCCAGGCTTTTGGTGAGGGCTAACCACATTAACCATTTGTAACACCTTTGGACTCCAAACACACAGTTATACACACATATTTGCACAATTATATAATTGTATCCATATGTCTGTGTAAGACTTTCTGAAGACCACTAACCCTTTGAACACATAAGACGGCAGAAGTAGTTAAGACTGTCTCCGCCAGAACTGGCCTAGGTTCTCTGCCTGTTTAAGGCACAGGCTGTCAAACAGGAGAAGCTCTCCTTCTCTGGAGAGCTCACCTGGGAGGAAAACAGAGTGTGATTCTTGGAATAGCTTGTTCCCTTTTCAAATTCCAGCTTCTGGGTCTTGTCCTTGTGTACATTTCTGCTTGAGAAATCTCTACCATCGGTGACTTCTCGCTTTTCTCTCTGCAGTCAGCTTAAAGAGTCGGACAAAGACAGAAGGCTGTCCGTAGAAATTTGGGATTGGGATCTAACCAGCAGGAATGACTTCATGGGATCGCTGTCATTTGGGATTTCTGAGCTACAGAAGGCTGGTGTTGATGGCTGGTAAGAGAGAGTTTGCTTTGAAAGCTATAATACAGCCCATCAATCATGGGGTGGGTCAAGTATGTTTTCCTTTCTGTCCTAAAAGTGCAATACTAAAGAGAGTAACCAGGTGATGACAGGTTGTTTGGGTCTGTCTTGTAGGTATATTTTATTAGGTCTTGGTACCATAACATCAACAATGACAACAAAAGCCAATCCGTGTTTAAAACATCAGGACATTTCCCATGAAAGTTTGGATATTTGGATTCTCTTAAAAAGACAGGCTGCATGGCAGCACTGGGCAGCCCCATGTGTCACAGACAGAACTGTTCCACAGGGTTTTCTTGGCTGGAATCTATGGAAGCAGATTGTCAGGCCTTTTGTCCATACCACCCAGTGGGTACCATAACCCTTGAGTTAGTATTGAAGGGCAAGCTGTTTGAGTCACACAGGTAGTTATATAGTCAGTAGGAAGAGAAATGCTGAAATAACTTTGCTAAGTTAGATAGAAAACTAGCTCATAAACAGAGCCATAAAATCATAACCTTTGGGGCTGTCTTATTTACCAGACAGAAAAACAAAAAGATCTCACCTCAGTTTTCTAAAAGGTGACATCTAGCTTTACAGAGCTGAGGGGCCATCTGAGCACTACTCCTCTATGAAGAGAAAGTCATATAAAATTATTATTTCCTGAGGCAGGAGATAACTAACTAGAAAACACTCTAGCATGACATTAAATGCTCACATGGTAATTTACCACATAAACAAAACAAAGGGAAAGAATCATATGATCATCTCAATCGATGCGGAAAAGGCATTTGATAAAGTCCAAAATATTTGCTGATAAAAACTCTCAGTAAAATAGGAATAGAAAGGAACTTCCTCAGTGTAATTAAGGGCATATTTGACTGCTAACCAGAAGGCTGGCAGGGCAGTTCAAACGCATCAGCCACTTCTCAGAAGGAAGATTGGGCAATCTACTGCCATAGAGATACTGCCTCGGAAACCCAAGGAGGAGTCACTGTGAGTTGGAAGTGACTCGACAGCAGTGAGTTTGATTTTTTTTTTTTAAATGTAAAACCAATAGCCAATATTATTCTCAATGGAGATTGAGAGCTTTCCCCTTGAGAGCAGGAATAAGACAAGGATGTCTCTTATCACCACTCTTATTCAGTATCATATTGCAAGTCCTAGCTAGAGCAATAAGACAAGAAAGGGAAATAAAGGGTATCCATATGGGAGAGGAAGAAGGAAAACCATCCTTATTCACAGATAATGTGATCCTATACATAGAAAATCCCAGGGTCTCCACAAGAAAGCTACTGGAACTAATAGAAGGATCCAGCAAAGTGGTAGGGTACAAGATCACCACACACAAACCTGTTGGGTTCCTCTACACTAATAAGGAGAACTCCAAAAGGGAAATCAAGAAATTAATACTATTTACAATAGCCCTTGGAAGGATAAAATACCTAGGAATATACCCTAACCATGTCATAAAAGACTTATACAAGAAGAACTATATAGGACACTACTACAAGAAACTAAAAGAGATCTACATAAATGGAAAAACATTCCGGGCTTATGGCTTGGAAGACTTAACATTGTGAAAATGTCAATACTACCAAAAGCTATCTATAGATATAATGTAATCCTGCTCCAAACCCCAACAGCATTCTTTAATGAAATGGAAAAAGTAATTACCAACTTTATATGAACAGGATGTAGGTCCTGAATAACCAAAAAACAAACCCCACTGCTATTGAGTCGATTCCAACTCATAGTGACCCCCATTGGGTTTCTGAGGCAGTAAATCTTTACAGAAGTAGATTACACTGTCTTCCTTCTGTGGAGTGGCTGGTGGGTTTGAACTGCCAACCTTCTGTTTAGCAGTCAATTGCCTTAGACACCGTACCACCAGAGCTCTTTAGGTCCTGAATAGCTAAAATGATATTGAAGAAGAAGAGCAAAGTAGGAGGCCTCACACTGCCTGATCTCAAAACTTGCTATATAACTACTGTAATCCAAGTAGCCTGGTGCTGGTTCAGTGATAGACACATAGATCACAACAGAACAGAACTGAGAACCCAGAAGTAAATCCATCCATCCATGGGCATCTGATCATCGACAAACTGTCAAAGTCTGTTCAATGGGGAAGGAACAGTCTCTTTAACAAATGGTGCTGGCAAACTGGATATCCATATGCAGAAAAAGGAATTAGGATCCCTACCTCACACCATACATGAAAGTTAACTCAAAGTGGCTCAAAGACCTAAATGCTAAAGCTAAAACTATAAAGTTTCTGGAAGATAACATAGGGTCAAAACTAGGAGACCTAATTCTCAGCATATATTGTCTATCAAACAAAACTGAAAATGTACAAATGACAGAAAATAAATTGGGTAACTGGTACCTTCTAAAAAAAGAAATGCGTATGCTCATCAAAGGACTACCAAGAGAACCTACAGACTGGGAAAATAATCTTTGGCGAAGACATACCTGGTAAGGATTTAATGTCTAAAATATATAGAAAAACTTCAACAACTCAGCAACAAAAAGACAAACAATCCAATCAAAAAATGAGCAAAGGACATGAACTTCGCCAAAGAGGACATTCAGGCAGCCAGGAAAAACATGAAAAGATGCTCATGATTATTAGCCATTGAACCAAAAAACCAAACTCACTGCCATTGAGTCAATTTGACTCATAGCGACCTTTCCTTTGGTTTCTGAGGTGGTACTTCT